TTAATTTTTAAATCCCTTTTTTTTATCGTGAAATTTAATGGAAAATGACAGTTCATTTGGAATGAGAATTTTATTATATGACAAGTTCATACAATTTGAACCAATGATACGAACATACACTTGAAATGATTAACTTACATGAATAAATAAATAATTTGAATTAATGTCAAATATAAATAACACGACTTCAAAATGACGTGACACATGAGGATGATATGAACAAAAATGCCTGACCCGAATATGCTATGNCTAATATAATCCATTCTTTTACAATACGGTAAGACAAATATGAGAAATTTAATTTTTAAATCCCTTTTTTTTATCGTGAAATTTAATGGAAAATGACAGTTCATTTGGAATGAGAATTTTATTATATGACAAGTTCATACAATTTGAACCAATGATACGAACATACACTTGAAATGATTAACTTACATGAATAAATAAATAATTTGAATTAATATCAAATATAAATAACACGACTTCAAAATGACGTGACACATGAGGATGATAGGAACAAAAATGCTTGACCCGAATATGCTACGNTTACATGAATAAATAAATAATTTGAATTAATGTCAAATATAAATAACACGACTTCAAAATGACGTGACACATGAGGATGATAGGAACAAAAATGCCTGACCCGAATATGCTATGACAAGTTTTAATTAGTACCCATTAACTTTGTATTATAGTATCAAAAACAGACTTATGTTACAAATTCAAGAAATTGGTGAATATGGTATAATGTTATTGTCTTTTGTAGATAAGACATTTTGTTCTATTTTTCATGGTATAAAAAGGCAACTTAGTAAACAACTCTTTAGTCAAAAGATTTATAGGATGTAAACATCCAAAAAGGCAAAGTGCTAAATCATGATAAGTTGCAACTTGCACTTAATAATTGTAAAGTATAGACAAGTTGGTCAGACCAATAACAATATTAAACATCTCATTCTAGATTGTCCACCTAGATTTGCACTTGGATTGTCCCACGCTTGATTCTTATTGAATGAGTCACTATTTCAATATTGTCACGTAGTCTGATCGTTTAATGATAAAAATAGATTATGTTTATTAAAATAAGAGCGATGTTACACAGACTTAAAATTTTGATTGTTATATTTATTATTTATTTAGTCATGAAGCCCAACAAATTAGGACCCACTAATATTTGTCATTGATTTAATTATGAGTTTTAGAATTTATTGATATCAAATACCTATTCAACAATAATGATTTATTAAGTCAATTTTTTTTAAATCTATCCAACCTTTTTCTTAAAANATACCTATTCAACAATAATGATTTATTAAGTCAATTTTTTTTAAATCTATCCAACCTTTTTCTTAAAATAAATATGTCTTCATGTAAGTTAATCGGTCTATTTATGTAAAAAAGTAAGACCACCTTATTCATGTGTTTTTTTAATATTATGATTACACTACGTGTCAATGTTGACATGGTGTAACCATTAATTGAATATTTACTCGTTAGTTAGATGTTTCAAAGTTTTGTTATTTGGTTTTGATGATGTTGTGGTGACTAACTACTCATCTGGATTAGTAATTATGACTCGTATGGAATATTTTATGCTGAAGTATTATTATCTACTGAACGCCACTCTCTCTATTTTTAAGTTCCAAAGAAAAAAAAAAAAACTCGCTTACTAGAAAAAAGTAAATTTGATTTTCATATGAATTTAGATGGTAATCAATTTATTGAAGTGCAGTTCAAGAAAAAGTTAAAAACTGATGAGTCTAAGGCAGCCTCAAATCCAATTTCCACCGTAATATTCTCGCCCAAAAGTGGACACGTATCGCATTCAAGACCTTCCACGCCCACGTTTGGAAGACAGCTGTTGATTTCAATGACAATTCAACAAAACAACGTACGACCTCGTGAATCCAAATTTTAGTAATATAGGGAATTAGAAGATAAGAAATTTATCTTTTATAATTTTTTTTTTCTTTTTCGAGATTGAAGAGAGGAAAGGAAGAAAGAAACTTAAACCTTTAACCTCACATTTTTTATAAATATCTTAATATTGATGTTGATGACTTATTTTTAATTTAACTAATGAAAAAATTAGTCGAAGTAGGTATAAACTGTCCTGAATACTCCTAATTGTTGAGATGCAGAAAAGAGGTTAGTCGAGATATGCATAAATTAACACAAACACTCTATAATAAATAATTAACCCAAACATACCTTACTTATAAGAAAATGCTATACAACTCAAATGAAACCCAAAAATTAAAATTCAAATATATATCATCTTTCGGATGAGTGGGTTTCACTGAAAAATTGATGAAACCCACTTGTATAAGGAAAGATATATATTTTGATTGTAATTTTTTGGGTTTCATTTGAGTATTAATATATTCCAAAAAATATAGAGTAATGATATGTATCTCATCCCAAATTAAGGAGGACAACTGGATCAGTGGGTCTCATTTAAAAAAGTTNGGACAACTGGATCAGTGGGTCTCATTTAAAAAAGTTGATAGGATCCATTTATCCAATGATCTTCCTCGATTTAAGATACAAATTTGGGATGAGTAATGATAGATTAACTTAAAAATTAGATTTAAAAATTGAGTAATGCTACATTGACTTAAACAGTAGACTTAAAAGTTAGACTTGATAATTTCAACCATTAAATAGGTAGTGGGTCCCAATAAATACTGGGATCCACAGTGAAATCAATGATTGAAATTATCAAATTTAGTTTTTAAGTTTACTTTTTAAGTTCATGCAGCATTACTCTTAAAAATTAAATTTAATAATCTCAATCATTGAATAGGTAGTGAATTCCAATAAATATTGAGAACTACATTAAAATCTATAATTGAAATTATCAAATTTATTTTTTAAATTTATGTAATATTGCTCATTTGAGATACATAGTATTACTCAAAAATATATTAATACTACACTGTTGGAGAGAGAGAGAGAGACAGAGAGGGTGCGGCACTGCGAGGCCGAAATTTTCAGGGCATTTAACCGACACGTGTNATACCTATTCAACAATAATGATTTATTAAGTCAATTTTTTTTAAATCTATCCAACGTTTTTCTTAAAATAAATATGTCTTCATGTAAGTTAATCGGTCTATTTATCTAAAAAAGAAAGACCACCTTATTCATGTGTTTTTTTAATATTATGATTACACTACGTGTCAATGTTGACATAGTATAACCATTAATTGAATATTTACTCGTTAGTTAGATGTTTCAAAGCTTTGTTATTTGGTTTTGATGACGTTGTGGTGACTAACTACTCATTTAGATTAGTAATTATTAATCGTATGAAATATTTTATGCTGAAGTATTATTATCTATTGAACGCCTCTCTCTCTATTTTTTAGTTCCAAAAAAAAAAAAAAAACTCGCTTACTAGAAAAAAGTAAATTTGATTTTCATATGAATTTAGATGGTAATCAATTTATTGAAGTGCAGTTCAAGAAAAAGTTAAAAACTGATGAGTCTAAGGCAGCCTCAAATCCAATTTCCACCGTAATATTCTCGCCCAAAAGTGGACACGTATCGCATTCAAGACCTTCCACGCCCACGTTTGGAAGACAGCTGTTGATTTCAATGACAATTCAACAANTTATTGGACACGTATCGCATTCAAGACCTTCCACGCCCTACGTTTTGGAAGACAGCTGTTGATTTCAATGACAATTCAACAAAACAACGTACGACCTCGTGAATCCAAATTTTAGTAATATTGGGGATTAGAAGATAAGAAATTTATCTTTTATAATTTTTTTTTTCTTTTTCGAGATTAAAGAGAGGAAAGGAAGAAAGAAACTTAAACCCTTAACCTCACATTTTTTATAAATATCTTAATATTGACGTTGATGACTTATTTTTAATTTAACTAATGAAAAAATTAGTCGAGATAGGTATAAACTGTCCTGAATACTCCTAATTGTTGAGATGCAGAAAACAGGTTAGTCGAGATATGCATAAATTAACACAAACACTCTATAATAAATAATTAACCCAAACATACCTTACTTATAAGAAAATGCTATACAACTCAAATGAAACCCAAAAATTAAAACTCAAATATATATCATCTCTCGGATGAGTGGGTTTCACTGAAAAATTGATGGAACCCACTTGTATAAGGAAAGATATATATTTTGATTGTAATTTTTTGGGTTTCATTTGAGTATTAATATATTCCAAAAAATATAGAGTAATGATATGTATCTCATCCCAAATTAAGGAAGACAACTGGATCAGTGAGTCTCATTTAAAAAAGTTGATAGGATCCATTTATCCAATGATCTTTCTCGATTTGAGATACAAATTTGGGATAAGTAATGATAGATGAACTTAAAAATTAGATTTAAAAATTGAGTAATGCTACATGGACTTAAACAGTAGACTTAAAAATTAGATTTGATAATTTCAACCATTAAATAGGTAGTGAGTCCCAATAAATGCTGGGATACACAGTGAAATCAATGATTGAAATTATCAAATTTAGTTTTTAAGTTTACTTTTTAAGTCCATGCAGCATTACTCTTAAAAATTAAATTTAATAATCTCAATCATTGAATAGGTAGTGGATCCCAATAAATATTGAGAACTACATTAAAATCTATAATTGAAATTATCAAATCTATTTTTTAAATTCATGTAATATTGCTCATTTGAGATACACAGCACTACTCAAAAATATATTAATACTACACTGTTGGAGAGAGAGAGAGAGGGTGCGGCACTGCGAGGCCGAAATTTTCAGGGCATTTAACCGACACGTGTATGTTTCGGAAATCCTGGCCACGCTTGTTTGGCGTCGTCCTTAAAACCAGGTTGTCTTAACCACGTGGGCCTTTTATGCTCTTCATGTCCACCACGTGTCGCTTTGTCGCTCGTTTTAGTTTTATCATGTAGAGGCATTTCAGTCATTTTATTTTCCCCTGGGAATTAAAATCCTTTAACCTTCTCTTTTCCGCTCTTATTTTCCCTCTGGTTCTCTCTCTCTCTCTCTCTCTCTCTCTGTTCAGCCGGCCAATTTTTCCCGGAGAAACTCTGGCAAATGTCTAAGATTACATTCTTTGAGCTTCATAAAAATTAACATGTTTTATTTTGAGCTTGCTTGAATTTTCCTTCTCATATTCTCGGGAAAGTCTGCTTCAATTTTGCTTCTTAACCCAAAATTCTCATCTGGGCGTCTCTAGAGTTAACGTGTTTTCAAAGATTTATTAACCGACTACTATAACATGGCGGAAGCTGAGGAAAATGGAAAAACAAGGCATGTTCCATTGCAGCTGGGTAGTTTTTCAAGCGATCAATTACAAAGATTTTTCTCGGGAAACCATTTTCCGAGAAAATTCGAGAAGAGAAGTCGAGATAATTATGAGGAGGAGGAAGAAGAAGGGATAGAGCTGAGTCTTGGGTTGTCAATGAACGGTCGATTTGGGGTGGACCCAAACAGATCTATGAAACTTCTGCGCTCTTCTTCTATATCAGACTTCATGATCAGTACCGTAGAAAAGAACATGGGGTTTACGGTCCCGGTAGCTACGTACACGTCTTTGACAAGGACGTGTTCGCTGCCGACGGAGACGGAGGAGGAGTGGAGGAAGCGAAAGGAGTTACAGTCACTGAGGCGTTTGGAAGCAAAGAGGAAGAGGGTAGAGAAGCTAAAGAACGTGAGAGTGGTGAGAGAAAAGTTGGAATTGGAAGAGAGTTGTGAAGAAAATGGTCATGGGTTGGTGGAAATTAATGGGAATGCTGAGTTTTTGGGACCTGTTGGGGCTGTCAATTTGGTTAATGGAGGCATAGGAGGGGTTGGGAATGGGCATGGAGTGGAATCGAAAGGCGAAAATGGTATTGGGTTGGTGAATCAAGAGGGTATTAATGGCTGGTTTCCCCCCAAACAGCCCTCATCACAGGGGTCGATGGGATCACAAGGGAGTGGTTCTTCGGGTATATCCGATTTGGAGAGTCAACCAATTCACGGTATCCCAAATTTTCCTCATTTGTTATTTTCTTTCCTTTTTCTGAATCCCTCTAAAAATGATTTTTTTTTTTAGGTTTGTGTTGGTAATTATGGAGCTTGCTTTATTGTAGCCAAGGTTATATGAAAATGCTAGTTGTTCTTGCTTGATTGCAGCTTATTTGCTGCCCCTTGTTAGATTTTCTATGTGCCTTTTATTTCTGCAGGTGGGTAATTGGAATCTGTTTTCCCCATGATTCTCTTGATATTCCTTTTCTGGCCAAAAAAATGTATTTTTTGATTTTATTTATTTATTTTTTGGGGGGAGGGGAAAGGTTTTTGGGATTTTTTTTTTCTATGATGCTATGTTGCTGAAGACAATATTTTACAGTTGTAACAGTCTCTCATTAACCCATGAGTTTCAATGGCATTAATTCAAAGTAGTTAGAGGTATGCTTTGTAAAAGTGAAAATTAATGGCATTAATTACATGGTATCTTACATATAACAGTTTCAAATATTTGTTTTGAATACCATGCGACTGGTGCCTGATTTTAGTAGTAGTAAGAAAGAGTGATGGTTGTGTTGGGTCTTTTCAAATTGAGCAATGCTACTTTGACCTAATTTATCGACATGCTTTGTTGATCTAATTATTCGTAATCATTGAATTGACAGTGATCCATATTTATTGGGACTCACTACCGATTTAATGGTTGTGACTTGTGATAGATTTGTTGCTAAATTTTCCACATTCAATTATTTAATAACTAATTTTTTTTAACTATGATTCGAGCAGTGCCTGATTGTAGTAGTAAGCAGTAATAATGGTGGTTAATTTATTTATTTTGTTTTGCATTATAGCAAGTCATGAAAATCATATTATAGGCTGGTAGATTCAAGCCATTGGAAGCATCAGTTAGGTAGAATATATTGCCTGTATTGTCTCACAATGCTGAAACCTGCAAGAAGCAGCTTATTGCATCAAAATGCTCATTTATGGCAAGAGATGACGGTGGTAACGTGTGTTTGGTTAGCCAGTACTTGTGGTTAATAGCATTAAAATTATGAGATTTAGAACCATCTCAAAATGGCGTGTAAATAGAATTTTGATGACCGAGTACATATCTCAAGAGCTGGAATAAAAGGAAAAAAGTAAAAGGTTTGCGGATTTTTGTTGGTAGCTCAGCTGTCCAAGGAACCTATAAGTAACATTTTGATGATTTCCATTTTTAAGCTGTCTCAAGAATTCATTAAGTAGTATTGTTTAAATGTTGTTTAGGAGCTGTTAAGAACCAATCTTTCTCTCCATTTTTCTCTTGCATTGCGGGGTGGTGGGGGTGTGCATGCTTGTATTGTCTTGGCTCCAAACCATTGTACTTCACTGTAGGGATTACTTTTTGAATAGTTAGTCAGTACCTTGTTTTCTCCCATCAACAGGGTACTGATAGGGATAAACTAGGTGCGTATCTAAAGATAAAACAGTTATCCTTAAATTTGACCCCACAAACTCAAGATTTTCATCTCTAAACCAGGCAATAATTTCTTTCTTGCAAAATGCCATATTCACTCTGATCATTGTAGCTCCTTGCATATAATTCTATTGTTGATGCACCCTGCTGATTGTGCCTGTTCATGAAAAAGCCTTAACCCAATCCAGTAATTAATAAGCAGTGTAGAGTGGAGCAGGGGTCGGTGTTTAATGCTTCTCTGCAACATTGTTTTTCTTCTGATTTGTTTTCCTATGAAAAGAAATAGTAAGCATATAGCAGTACAAAGCTTGTGAAGCCTACGCTGGTGAAAGCTGTAGCAAGTTATTCTACAATTATAATTGCATAGACATATGGCCAGCCCTAAGGTGCGAAGCTTCTAATTCATGAGTGTCTGGACAGAATGATTTGTTAGACATTTGCATAACTATGTGAGCCTCAAAACAGTTACATCTGTTGAGCCTTTTGCAAAGGGCGATTAACTTGTATTAGCTAGCGTCACAGTAACCTTGAATAAGCATAATTGATGGGGTAGCTGTAAGAGCACCTTTTCTATATAAGAAGATGTTGAACAAGGCAGGCATGCAGCAAATTGGGTCCGAAGTAAAAAAAAATTAAGCTGGCATAGAACAATTGATTTTCAACTTTAATGCAAGTTATTTGCGAGGTGTAATTTGTAAGCTCTTGAAACTCATGCAACTCAACAAGTTCTATTCTTGGTCTTTTTGTAATTGCACTGATACTTTTATGAGGTACTTGCTTCCAGCCCATATCGTGGTAGACATTTCGACATTCTATAGTTAAGTGTGAGCAGATCTAATTGATATATATTTCTCCAGGGACTGATGGAACTTGTTATATATACATAAAAATTTCTAATTCTATGTTAGTTAAAACTGCACATCAGGTAAATATCACATCGTCTAGCTGCATTTAGAACAAGCACATTCATATTATCTGATGACCATGCTGCCATCGTAGATTTTCCCTTTCCTCCTTCCAACCTGTACCAGTGCACTGTTCTTGGATTGGGTTCTCTTTCCATTAGTTTTGCCAATTCTTTCTGCCCGTCAAGTTGAATAGCATCCATGGATAATTTTGAGGCCGCATCTGACATAACTGACGCTCTATGTTCATTCATGAACCTTGGATACTTCGCCATCTGCTCGGGGAATTCTTCATGCAAATCCCTCTAGTCTTCTTCTTTTTCACAGCTTCCATGACTGCCTGCAAATCCGTTCTTGAAAGTTAGCTATTCGTTTATTCCTACATTGTTTATTGTCTATTGTTTATCGTCTTATCCTTCTGCATTACGTTACAGGAACAAACAAATACAATGATGGGAGAAGATTCGTCAGCGCCCAGTCTCTGCCTCTGCATATGGAACCTAGATCCGTAGTCATTCCTGCAACAACAACTGATAAACCCGGAAAGTTTACTGGGGCTGCGATGGAGAATCCATCTATGAAAGTTGCTGTTGCTGACAAGGAGGCGAAGAAAATGGTGAGAAATATGATGGTAGACATGCCTTGTGTCACAACAAAGGGAGAGGGACCAAATGGAAGAAAAATAGAAGGGATTCTATACAGATACAGGAAGGGAGAGGAAGTGAGGATAGTATGTGTCTGTCATGGCAGTTTTCTCACTCCGGCCGAGTTCGTCAAGCATGCTGGTGGTGGTGATGTGCCTAACCCACTTAAGCATATAGTTGTTAATCCTTCTCGTTTCTTGTAATAGTAAGAGCCTCCGCCAACCCCTGAAGACAAAGGGGAGACCAATTCGAAGAACAAAGACAGTACCTTTAATTTTAATGGTACATTCCGAAAAAGCAGCGGTTTTAATTCTGCTGTTGGATTTCTTGATTATGCTGGGGAACGGTTTTTGGTTCAGGCAATTATTTTCTTATTTTTTAGTAACTGAATAGGGTTTGTGGGATATGAGGAAGTAACTGAATAGCAGTTGGCCAAACTGCCCTTGACGTTGTGGGTTTGAATTTCGTCATTTTTCTCTCTTCTATAATAGTTTCCGACAGACCAAATCGAACGGGTTCTTCACTACGTTGATCAATCTTCCAATTCCGTTGAAGAACCGGTGCGTCAAAGAATTTTAGGGAGGTGAATGTCTTAAAAGGGTTTTGGTTACAAAAAAAAAAAAAAAAAGTCTTGAAGGGTGACTGGTGAGTTTTGCTTGGGTTTTTTCACTTTAAATAATTACAAAGGCCAAAGCAGCTTTCTTCATTCTCTACCCTAACTTTGTAAAAGGGCCACAACTTATTTCCAAAGTATTATCAGACTTGTCCCAGCTTTCAACGATGACACTAAAGTAGAGCCCTTATAAGAGGTTAATCCAAGGAAAACTCATCCGATGGGACACAGCATCGGATTCAGCCGAGGGTGAAGCATGAGTCTTATAATACGAGTCCAATCAATATGATATTAAGGTATAAGGCCATTTCTGTTCTCTACTTAGAAGTAAATTTAAATTGAAATTTGAGTAAAAAAACTTTAAAAATCTCACCAATTTTTAAAAAAACCAGTTTGTCAGGTTTGAGTTCAAGTTTATGAAGTTCAATTCAATTAACATCCCTGATAGAGCAAATGTGAGTATCCAAAGACTATCCCAATAAGTCTTTACTGGTAGAATTATAAGACCTTTGACTGTACCTGTTACTCTTCTCGAAAACGAACCTAACTAGATTAACATAACAATCAACTACTGAACTTCAATCAACCACTGAACTCCAATACTTGAATCTCCAATTTCAAGGTGAGAAGATCGATCAATATCCTACTGAACTATCACATTCGTTGGTAATTTGAGTTTGAGTTAACATTGGAGATGCCCTTATTAATCTAATTCAATCCAATCTCACTACCTAATTCCCAAACCAAACATATGCCCATATTTATAATATTGAACATACCTAAACCATTAATCAAGAAAGCAGGTAGACTGATTAGTTTCTCAGAAACATTTCTATTCTTTGCTTTTATTAGACAAGAAGAAATAGAAATGAGGTACAAAGTATACAACTTGGGGAAACAAATATATCTGCATTCTGTCGTTTTTGCAGATCCTCCATCACTGAGCCCCCCTCCCCCTCCTAATCACGGAAATGGCAGCGAAAAATGGGGGCAAAAACTATACTACAAATTTACAAGCACCTATATAACTCAGACCTGATCCTACCGGCCGTCGTCTGGGAAGACACCCAAGAGCAGAGCACTTTTGCAAGGCCACAAATTACAGGCTTACCTTCTTCTACACACTACAATGTCAATCACTTGATGCCTTAAACACCGGTAAGGTGTAGCTAACAGGAAGGCGGTTGAAGTTGCTTCAGTCGTCGTACAACTTGCTTCATTGTAGGCCTGGTAGAGAGAGACTCAACAGTGCACACAACTGCCAAGTGTAGTACTTCGACCAAATCATCATGGGGACCTGCATCCCATAACCCCATGGTGAAGAACTCCTTGGCACGGCCTTGTCTCAACAGCATGCACGCCCACGCCACAATGTTGAAACCATTACCGTATGAAGAGAATGAAGGGTCCAGGGCTTTCTTGTCCGAGATTAGCTCAAGCAGCACCACCCCATAGCTATAGACATCAGCTTTGTCAGAAACCCGGCAAGTCATTGCATATTCAGGAGCCACATACCCAAAAGTACCAGCCACACCCGTGGTGGCATGGGTTTCTGAAGTTCCCAGAAGCCTGGCTAATCCAAAGTCGGATAAATATGCGTTGTAGTCATCATCCAACAAGATGTTGCTGGGCTTGACATCACGATGAAGAACGCGTGGGACACACTGGTCATGAAGGTAGGCAAGGGCACGGGCTATGTCCAAAGCAATCTTGTGAAGTATCCTCCAATCCACAGCCCTCGTGGACCTTTCCTGGATAAATTTTTCCAAATTACCACCAGGCAAATAATTATATATAAGAAACATCTCTGTTTCACTGGCATGATAACCTATTAAGGTCACAAGATTTGGATGGCGAAGCCTCCCCAGAGTTTTGATTTCCGCATCAAACTGCTGGACCCCTTGAAATCGTCCAACTGCAAGCCGTTTTATTGCTACCAAGACTCCTGGAGAAATTTCAGCCTTGTATGTTGCTCCAAAACCTCCGTTCCCAATACAGTTGCTAGCATTGAAACTCCCCGTGGCCCTAACAACATTCTCAAATGTCAGTGGAACTCCAATATCGGTGAATACTGTAACTTCCTTTCTGGCAGACCCCTGAACCCTGGATCTCGGATTACATTTTCTTGTGTAGAAGAAGAGGATAATAAGTGCAAGAAGAACTGATACAATAGCCGATGAAGATGTTATGGCAGCGATCTCAATTGAATTCAAACCATTATTCTCACTTTTCTGCGTTGGACTTGGTGGAGAAGCAGCATAATTCCGTGAATCCCCTGTGATCCCCTGCTGATCTGAAGGTGAAGTTAAAGAGAACATATAACAAGACTGTAGAAAGGGGTTTCCTAGGACACTACTACATTTCCTCAAATTAACATTCAATGGAAGGGGCCCCGACAAGTTATTGAAGGACACATTGAACGCCAAGAGTGTGGTCAAATTTGCCAGAACAGATGGAATCTGGCCCGAGAGTTTATTGTTGTTGAGCCGAAGAACAGTCATGTTCCTCAAGTTCCCGAGCTCTCCTGGAATCCCACCAGAGATGGAATTTGAAGAAAGTTCAAGCACTTCTAACGAGTGCAAGTTCCCCAAGCTTGTAGGAATGGAGCCAGTCAGGTTATTGCCAGATAATGAAAGATACTTGAGATTCTTTATCTGGCCAAGATTGCTTGGAATCGCACCTTGCAACAGGTTCCAACTCAAATTAAGAGCAACAAGAGACACCAAATCCCCAAGACTAGCAGGAATGGTTCCAGAAATCTGATTCCCTGAGGCATCCAAAAGTTTAAGAGATCTGCAAACTGAACCAATTTCCGTGGGGATGGGGCCATAAAATTTGTTGTTGCTGACATTTACAATCATTGCTTTTAATTTGTCACATTTGTCAAACAACTCTCCAGGAAATCGCCCAGCAAACTTGTTACTACCAGCTAGAAATGAATAAACAGTCTGCTCCCCTAATCTTTCATTTGCGATGGGCATTGAGCTGAGAGCCCCAGTAAAGTTGTTCCCACCAAAATTATGAATTATGGCAAGACTACCACCATCTCCAAACAAAGGCAAAGGGGTTCCAGCCTGAGTCAAATATGCAAAAAATGGTAGATATGTAGATGATGGCATGTAGGCTTCAACTGCATATGCATTTAAGGATGGAACACGAGGGCAATAGCTATAGTAAAATTTGGGAATTGAACCTGTGAGAAGATTCCCGCTGACATCAAATAAAGTCATACAAGGAACTGGAAGTTTATCAACAAGCTCACCCGTCAGCATGTTCAAGCTCAGATCAAGAAAATACAGCTTCTTGCAGATATTAAAACCCCGAGGGATTTCTCCTTTGAAAAAATTCTGAGCCAAATTCACCATCTCCAAGTTGTCACAAGCCCCCCAATTGCTAGGAAACTTTCCCTCTAGACTTGCCCTTGGCATCCACAATATCTTAAGCTTAGAGAGAGTAGTAATTTCCGTAGGCAAATCGCCTTCAAAGAAATTATATTCGTCAGTGGTGTAGGTAAATTTCCCTGATGAAGAATCGCCTTCTGAACTACCAATACTAGGAAGAGGATCCAACAAATTTGACAGCACAATGACCGATAATTCTGAACAATTTCCGAGCTCACGAGGTATTGGACCACTGAGGCTGTTCCTCGACAAATCCAACACTTCAAGCTGGCTCAGCCGACCAAATTCTACCGGAATAACCTCGTCAAGCAAATTCGAATACAAAATAAGTGACCGTAACTCCCTACAGTTCCCCAAACTACTTGGAATCCCTTCAAGCAAGAAATTACCTGCGAGTTCTAAATGTTCAAGTTTCCCACAATTGTTCCCTATCTCATTCGGAATTGACCCAGCAAGTCGATTAAATGACAAGTAAAGCCCCCTCATATCTCTAAAACCACTAACAGACTTTGGAATTGTCCCATTCACTCGATTCCCAGCTAAATTCAAGATTTGTAGACCCACACAATCAGATAATGAATTTGGAATCTCCCCAAAAATATCATTAAAGCCCAAATCAAGAACCCGTAAGTTCCGCACACCCGTGAAACGAACTGGTAAAGACCCACTAATTGAATTCCCTTGAAGATCCAGAACTTCCAACTTTTCCATGCCCCAAATTTCCACAGGAATTTCACCATTCAATTCATTGAATGGAAGTGACAAAACCCGAAGTTCTTCCAGCTTCGCAATTGCAGGTGATAGCTTACCCACCAATTTCACTTTAATATCCAAACAAGCCCTTCTAATTCCAAAACCATACAGTGGAAATTTATCAATTTTAGCACAAGACAAAGAAGCAGAATTACCTCCACCGGTAATATTCAGAGCCACAACCCGAGAATTTGAATCACACGATACTCCAAACCACGAACAATGATCAGAATTACTTGAACTCCAGCTCAATAGTACTCCATAACGGTCTGAAACTGAGGTCTTGAACTCCAAAAGAGCTGATTTGTCTGCATCGAAGCTCGAAACAACGAAGCTTTGGGCTAGAACGAAGACCCAGATAAGAAACAACAGCTTCAAGGGTTTGTTAAGATGGTACCATCTGATCACAGCAGAAGAACGACCCATTACCGAAAACCCCCCAAAAAGGGTCCAATAAATGCCCAGTAAAAACCCCTAACCTTCGTCTCTAACAAGTCGACGAAAAGCAGGACTGGGTCTTGGTTCAAAAACCTTAACCCTAACCCTAATTTTGGGTTTGGTGGTTGTGAAGAGAATGCAGAGAAAAAGTAAAGATCAGAGAGAGAGAGAGAGAGAGAGAGTGGCCCTACAGCGGGTTGATTCTTTGAGAAAAACGCGATGTGTTTTTTTTTTTAATTTTGTTTTTGTTTTTGCTTTCTGTAAGTATTGTGTGCGCTCATAATTAATTTTAATTATTTTTTACGTTAATTGTACTAATGGCCCCAAAGTATAGAGTGTTATCTTATTTTGGTCATTAATATTTTTCAATTGTATTATTTTAGTTACTTAATTGTTGAATATATATTTTATTTAGTCCTTCAAATAGATTATATCTAAATTACTATTAATCATAAATGTATCATGTAATATTCAAATTTGGATAAAAAATATTTAAATAGTTCTCGATCAAAATTTGGGTAGATCTTGATTAAAAATTTATATAATATTAGTAATTTTTAACCAAAATTTGGAAAGTTCATGATTAAAACTGTGTAATTTGAATAATTCTTTGACTAAAATTTAAATAAAAATTTGATCAAGAGTTATTTAAATTATTATTTTTTTATATTTAAATATTACATGACAAGTTTATAATAAAAAATCGTTAGTAAATTGGACATTGTCTGTTTGAAAGATCACATACAAAAAAATTCAATATTTCAAGAATTAAAATGATATAATTAAAATATTGGAGATCAAATGAGACAAATCTCATACATTAAGGACCCTCAGTGTAATTAAGTCTTATTTTTTAAAATAATTTTATTTATTTTTTAATTAGTTGTCTTCTTGTGGGGGGAATGATGGGTGCGGTCCAGTAGACATACTTTTGGTGAAGAAATGGGGACCACCGCCAGTCAATACATGCATCAGCCCGTCAACGTTTCTTCGAAAGCCCAAAGTCGTTGGTTGGGTTTGATGGGCGGAAAAGATTCCTTTGTTATCTTAAGGTGATTAAACCTCAGTGGGACTGTCATATCGTAAAGTATGCTGGGCCCACTGGGGCCCCACACCCAAGTCTAAGCAGCAGCCTTCATTTAATTTTTTTTGACTATATGTTCAAATTTCTTGGAATGTTTCAAGTGCTATAAACCATGAGTCTCCATTGACGAACACAATAAAAATTTGAGTCAACCTCGGTTGTATGAGTCTTTGAAAAGACCCTATCAGCGCTTACGACGTGACGATATGATCTGAATATTTTGTTACGTCGTAACACAATATTATCTCAAAGTTTTTTGAGTTGATAGTCAATACCATAAGCTCGAACTAAATTTGTACATGAGTTTAGAGATATTTTTGCAGCTTCACAATCGATTATTAAAACATATTTGGAACCATAAAAAATTTTCAATCGAGTCGGAATTAAAAAATAGACATTTCCAAAATAAGATAAGATTATCTGACTTTTACCTTTTCTCTTATTTCCCTAATTAGTGAATCATTTCGAGATTCATAGCCAATGAATTCGTTGGGAAAAGAGTTGTTTTTTTTTCTCATAGAGGGTTGTTGCGGTTTTTTCTTATAGAGGGTTGTTGTGGATTACTTAACACTGAATTAAAGATACCGATGGTTGTTGAGTCAAATTGATTTGAAATAAATAGGAATGTAATTAGTTTAACTTCAATACTGAAATGTAATTTTTTGATATTATATACATTTTTTCTTTTAATATTAACATGACATGTGTCAAGATTACTTTTTTTTTATTATTTTATTTTAATTTATCATGAATTTTATATTTTTTTTGCAGCTTTACAACCAATTATTAAAACATATTTGGAGCCATAAAAAACGTTCATTTGAGTCCGGATTAAAAAGTAAAACTTTCCAAAATAAAATAAGATTATTTAACTTGTACCTTTCCTTTATTTCTACAAATTATGAATCACTTTGAGATTAATAACCAATGAAATTGTTGCGATAAATGGTTGTTTTTTTTTTTTCTCAATAGGGTCGTTGCGGGTTACTTAACAACAAATTAAAGATACTGGAGGGTTGTTGCGTTGAATTGAATACGAATGGAAGTGGTTTAACTATAGTACTACAATGTAATTTTTTGATATCATATACCTTCTTTTTTCTTTTGATAACAACTTAGACATGTGTTAAGATTACTTAATTTATTAATTGAATTAAATTTATCATGAATTTGATATTTTTTTGAGGCTTCACAACTAATTATTAAAATATATTTGAAGTTGATGATGCACAAAATAGTTTTGCACACCACATGTCAAGTGTGAATTATAAATGCAAGAGTAAAGTAAGGAGATGGAAAGACACAAGTAATTTATAGTGGTTCGGTCAACGTGACCTACGTCCATTCTTGAATGATTCTGGTCGCCGAGTACTTTATTAGCTCAAGGGTGTGGGGAGCAAAGAGTATAAGTTTTAAGGGAGAGGAGAGAGTCGTGCTCAGGTAAAGTGTGATGCCCCCAAGTGTTGGTGGAGTGTGCAATTTATAGTGGCTCCCTAACAGATTCGGACTACTTTACAGTAATTAAACGACTATTCTGGTGGAGCTCACGATTTCTTCTTAACGGGTGAGGAGGTTGGGGAACACTCCATGATATGTGGTTAAAGATAAGGTGAGGGTGGATCATTTTCTTATGCGGTGCAGGTAAGGCTCTCATGTTCTCCCTCTTGATGACGTAGCCAAGCAGAGAGTTTGTCTGGTCTTGGACTATGTTGGGATTGGTAAATCTTTTATGAGTTTGAGCTCCTCAATTGGGATTTGAACTTTTCACATAACTTGGGTCATTTGGGCTTGACCCATCATTTGTCCCCCAATGCCTCGTGTTCAAGGAAACTTGGAGAAGGGGACATTAATTTGCTCCTTGAGTTATAAGTGGTGGAGACTTCCTCTGTTAGATGACTCTTTCCCTCCACAATGTATTTTTGGCTTTGTATGCCTCAAGTTTTTTTCATTTTTGCTAGGATTTTTAGGAGAGCCCATAACTTTCAATTTGGGTTTTTCCCTCTTCAAAAACCCTAGGCTATAAATATAACATTCTTCTTCATCTTACCCATTTCATTTAATTTGAGATTGAGCACCCATTTCTTGAAAACCTTGAGAGCCCCTTCTTGTGAGCTAAATTCTTTTCATTCCATTGAGACTTGGGAAAAAGGAGGCAAGGCTTGAAATCTTTCAAGAGCACTCTGTTGATATTCTTGGGTGGAGTTTTAAAGTGGGTATTGGAGCTTGAAGGAGGTGGAGTAAAAAACTCCATTGGTGCCATGGAGAGTGGCTAAATTGGGGCTGAAACAGGTGATCTTGGAGCCCTTGGAGCTGCAAGGGTTGAAGGAGGAGAAAAAGGGAGATCTCCGCTGGTTGTCGCTGCCATGGGCGCGCACTAGCAGCTCACGAGGAGGGTTACAGGCGCCGTTTTAGGCGCTGGTCTGGGTGCCCCAGACACGGGTTTGGGCAGTTTTGGCAAGATTTCTTTCTCGAGTAAGTGTGTAGGAAAAATGGTGGACAGTATAGGCGAGATGGCAGCGAATTGGGCACCAATCTGGGCTGCTTGGGCACTGATAATGTTGTCCTGGGTAGCTCTGGCGCGATAGACAGCTGCTTGGGCACTGAGAATGCTGTCCTGGGTAGCTCAAGCGAGCTGGATAGCAGCTTTTTTTCAGTTGGAGGTGCAGGAAACCGGGCCAAGGAGCAGCGGGGAGAGCTGGGCAACAACCTGGGTGCAGGGGCAGATCTGGGCACCATAGGCGCTAATTTGAGCGCCAGAGGTGCTGTTGTTTGCAATTTTGAAGGGCCAGACACCTCTCCAGCTGCTGGGCTGCTTCATTTGGGCAAGCAAAGGCGGTCATGCACCCCTTCAGGCATTGGGCTTCCTTGTTTGGATGAGCAAAGGCAGTCAGATACCCCTCCAAGTATTGGGCTAAACACTACAAGAGGCAAGAAAACTTTGGGTGCTGCTTATGATGATCAGGATTTGACTGTGACTCCTCCAACCCAAGCTCCTCAAGACTTCCCAGATGGTGGTTTAGACCACTCCCTACAACCCTGAAAGAAGAAGCACAAAGGCAAGGTGGGACTCGATGATGATGGGTCATAGGTAAGTACTTTTTCCAGTTTGTTCTATTCGGATGAAGATATCTTGAGGCTTGTTTATGCTTATCGCATTCCTTCGACCGTGCTATGCCGCCAGACTGAGTCGAGTGAGCTTGCTTGCGATGATTTTTCTGGTGATATTGTAGTTTACGAGAAGATGCTTGAGGCTAGGCTAAGGTTCCCCATGTCATATCCTATTTGTCGCATTTTGCATTATTTTTCCTTGACTCCGGGGTGATTAGCGCCTAATGGTTGGAGAGTTCTACTGGGCTTTCTTGCATTATGGAGGAAAGTGCACCATGAAAACGCTTCTCTTGTGGAGTTCCACGCAACATACAATTTGAGCGAAACTCTTGCACTAAATAGGGGGTGGTACTACTTTACCACAAGAAGTGGTACAGTGCCCATGGGACTGCGCTCCAATTGTCACAGCTAGAAATCTTGCTTCTTCTTTGTTGGTGGAGAGTGGGCTGTAGAAGCCAACAGAGCTTTGGTGCCAATACGGTGGGGTGCTACCAGAAAATTTGGTGCGCTGCAAATTCGGTGCTCTTGCAGACACGCCTGTACTTTCTCAAGACCAGGAGTGAAAGTTGGAGGCCGTCAAGGCTTGCCCTTACAAAGATTTGGGAGCTCTTCTGCCCAAGGATGCTAGGGCCGTTGCTCCCTCCCTGAAATTTGGTGGCTCCTCTTCGAAGAAAAATGGTGAGTTGGTTTTCTCCTTTCATTTTCTCTTCCCCTTGGTATTTTTCACCTCCCTGACACTTTATTGTTTTCGCAGCAAGTAAAAGGGTGGTAGTGTTTCGCTATTCTAGCAGGAGCT